CTCATTTATGTCATTACCAGTTTTGGAGAATGGAGTAGTTTCTATTTGACATTTGCTATCCTGTTGTTCGGAAGAAAAAGTACCTGGGGAGGACCACTGCCCTCATATTTTTCACATTATGCAAATTCAGTGGTAAATTTGCTAGAAGGGGTAATTTTTCTGTCATTTATATATTGATATCCCACCTTATCTTTTATGAAGATGTGCTGAATGATGCTACAGTTTAGAACAAGCATACAATTAGCAGAGTCATAAAAGTTAAACTCTAATCTAAAAGAAACTTCCTCAGTTAAAACAGGATTTTAAAATGTAAGAACTAACCACCCCATAAGCAAGCCTGTTGGAGTAAAATATTGTTTTCAGATGTCTGAATCAATCTTTTCTCTCAGGGCAGTGACTTCCAGAACCTCAGACCTGAAACAGAAGGGGGTAGACCCTCAAACATCCTGTTGAAGTTTGCCTTATTAGAGAGGTCATGTGGCACTTGCTTCTTCATTTGCATTAATTTATTTATTTGCATTAATTGACCATTAATGAAGTAATTTATATTACACTTATGAGACTTCTATGTTTAACTATCCAAAGACTTACATACTAAAATATCTCCTTCCTAAAGAAAGGGAAGAAGACACACACAGAGAGAGATGGTAAGGATATCTCTTCCTTTTGATCATGCAAGTCTAATAATTCTCTTACATCTTGAGCAACACATATTGATGTCACAGACACAGCAGTGGAAGCATCTTGAGAGACAGTTCTTCCTTTTTTGAATGATAGATATAGGAATATGCAGGAGGAGCAGAGCTGATTGATAGATAGTGAGCAACTCATCCATAATGATCTGTCGGATATAGACAGTAAATTATTCTGAAGATTGATGCAGGTCATTGAACAGCACATCAACAAACCTGTTGTCCATCATTTTCCTGAAATGGCGTCTGGGACACTGACAGATACTCCACATGAGTCTATACAGTGCATGAAAGGTACAGGAAGGTTCCCTTAGTGGTGCTACATTCCAGATGTCGCCTTTTGCCATGTTATTCCCTCTTTCCTGTGACCCCAGCATCTTTCCACAAGTCATAATTATAAAACAATGCATAACATTTGTGCAATACCCTTTTATTGGAGTTTCTTCCCCTCCCCCCATTTTTCATACATTATATAAAGTTCTTGTTGAAAATAAAATTCAATACAGTACTGGCCATGTTTGATTTTTTTTATTGTTGCTGTACCTACGTTCTAGATATATCTGTTGTTGCTAAATACTGTCAGATTGCCTCTGATTTATGTGATCCCATAAATGAATGATCTACAAAATGTCCTGTACTCAATAGTTCTGTTTAGCTCTTGTAAAATCAGGCCTGTGAATTCCTTAATATAATCAATCTGTCTCTTATTTGGTCATCCTCTTTTCTTGCTGCCTTCAACTTTTCCTAGAATTATTGACTTTTCCAGAAAATCTCGCCTATTTGCAATTGGCCCCAATTGGTATGATAGTCTCAGTTTAATAATTTTTACCTCAAGAAATAGCTCAGGCTTGATCTGCTCTAGGACCTAATTCTTCATCTTTTTGATGGTCCAAGGTACCCACAAGGCTCTCCTCCAGTACTATATTTAAAAATAATAATAATATTTTTCCCCTGACAGCAACATTCCCTCTAATTCTCGGCCCTGCTGCGTGAGCTTTGTCATCTTCTCTCCTGTAAATGGATGTAAGATTAAACTCCATGGCCATGCACAAAATATCCCAGATTAGGTACTTTGTTCAGAACATATTAGAATTTTACATTCACACCTCCCTGTCTCCCTTCCCCAGTACATGCTAAAATTCAAACAGTCATTCATTTGCTGACTTCACAGGTTTCCTCTCATTTATACTTGTCACAGAAAAGTAGCCATGTGATCTGTTTGCCTGTGTTACCTGTTCAGACTCCATCTGTTGACAGTCTGCTAAATACATACGTTTCAGAGCACATTTCCATACACTCATTAAATAGTCTTCAGTTTCAAAGGCCCTCAGGAGTGCTAAACACTGGATTTGGACTTGATTCTCAACTTCGGTTCTTCAGAGTTTTACAGATTAGTTTATCCCATAGGTTCCTATTTTTCCTTCTGAGTGAAGTGTAAGGAGTGTTTACAGTAAAAGAATGCCCCTTCTCTGTGTTGTTTCCATTACTGTATATGATGGTGTAGTTGAGATGACATAGAAGAGGGCTGGTAACTATCCTCCTTTATTCCAGATTCCTCACAATATTGCTTCTGATTTCTCTTTTCAAAACCCTATACATGTCTGGTCTCTTCCTTGAATCATATATGATGACTGTCCAGTACTAATACTAAGCACTTTCAGTAGCATTTTTAAGCATGCACCCATTTCTAACATGAGATGCTTTTCAAAGTCAGGTTTCTTAAATGCTGCTTATCCAAAGCAGCAAAGTTGCTCCAGTGCCAGTTGACAGTGACAGATCCAGTTTGAACAAAAATGATGAGAAGTTTCAGTCAAGGCTTCTTTTCTTCTTGCTGTTTGTATTTCATTTCTTTCTCTTTTTTAAAAAATAAAGATATCTCACCTGTCATTAGCTCAGTTGTAAAGGAAGGTTTGTGCTCAGCTGTCGGCTTTTTGAAAAGTATTATTTGAAGTACTCCAGATCAAATGGATTCCCATATTTCTTAACTGAGTTATGCATTTGACACGGTGCTGTGAAATACATAAATAAGCTCAGATTTATTGCTGTTTTGAGTATGTAGTACCTGTGTATCTATACTTAATTTTCTTTTTCTTTTAGCAAATTAACTAGGAGTAAGGTGGCTTCTGATTTGCAAACATAAGAGTGCTGTTAATTGCAAATATATTGGAGAAGCTCACAACAAGATGGTTTTGCTTTCTGCCCAAAAGCAATGGCAGTAAACTTGGAGTGCCTTCCACTCTTATTAGGAATGAAGAGTTTGTGTCGTTACGATAATTTGCCTTATGTACAATAATTCTAGTGACAATTGCATAATCACCATGATGATACTGCAATAGATTATTCTGAATTCTAGATGCTATGTTGTCCATATGTATTAGTCAAATATGGAAAAAAATAAGAATCAATGGTATTCTAATGTATTGCTTTTTATAAATATAATGAAGTCATGATCATTTTAAAGATGCAAAGTTATATCCTTACACCCTGAAGGCTACACAAAATAGAGATTTACTGCAATAATGTGAATATGCCCAGAGTAGATCAGACATGGAGATTAGACATTACCATATATGTAACAGGGAAGTACTGTTTCTTGGCTTTTGTGACTCATATATGCCATAATGCCATAGAATTTTACAGACCCTGCACTGTCCATTAATAGAAGCATGTCTAAATGAATTCAGCATTTAATGTTAAAAATCTTATAATATGCCAGCTTGATTTGTAGCCCGTCATATCATGGAATGCTAATTAAAATCATATTTTTGCATATGTCATGCCTTTCATGTACATATGCAAATAGATTTCCAGTGCCTTTCAGCTATTAGTAATTAACTTTATGAAGGACAGCTGTAATACATAATTAACAAAAATGTTTGCAAGCCCTTTTCACACTGAAAGTAAGAGCAATAATTCCGTTTCCCCCGCTTCTAGTTGTGTGTGTATTGCTGGTTATGAAAAAATGCCATTTTAGTTTGAATCTTCTGTCTGGTATCTATAGTATGACAACAGGCACCTGACATGATGAAATTGATGTAATTATTAATTGGATGTATATTTATCAATATCTATGAAATATATGTGTCAGTGCAATTAATTCAGAGGCTTTGTGTTTAATAGCTACAATGTTGTGCCAACATGTTGTAGCCACTTACAGCAGCCTAAATAGGTTTTTCAAGGTATGTAAGATGTTTAAGTAGTGGTTTTAACATTGCTACCCTCAGCGAGTTTGCACGGTTGAATTCTACTGGTTAATTGTTCTGATATAAGTACGTTACACATAGGTGTAATGGCACAAATCATAGTGGCAACTTGCTATTAGTTAACAAGTTGTTGGTAAATCTTTTCCAACCTGCTATGTTCCCTTCTATGCCTTACCCCTCCCTATTGTCAAGGAAGCTGACATTCCTCGATTGAGTGAGAGGAAGGCGTGCATAGACATTCTATTACGTCTTGATATAACATGTGCATATAAAGCAAGGAAAAAGGTTAAAAACGGGATTCTTCTTTGTTTTATCACAGGAATGGGAATGACACAGCCTCTGGATGTTTTGGAGTTACATCTGTATTTATCATAATCAGTGCAATCCATGATGAGAGACTATAGGAATTACAGTTCAGCTTCATTTTAAGAACCACCTATGGTTCTCTCTTGTTCTAGGATGTTCTCAACATATGTAGACATTATGCTGACGTGAAGCAGTATTATGATGTTTTTTTTTGTTTTTTACACAGCAGGAGCCTGAGAGACACCCAAATCTCATCTTCAGCTTTCTCTCCTTTTCTTTGTTTCAGTGACTGAAATCCAGTTGTGAAAAGACCTTCCCAGGATGAAAAGTATCCTAATGGAGTCTTGAAACCTTATGGGGCAAATAAGAAACTTAATTCCCCCAAAACATTTGTGACTAATGACACCATCAGCCTTACACCACATAACTTTATGCAACTAAATTTCGGCCTCTATGTTTTACAAAAATAAAAATCAGTGCTTATACTCTGATGCACTCAGCTGCTAGTTTCCCCCCAAAATGTTTTAAATATTGATTGATTTAATATTGTAAACTATCTTAGATCTTCTTGAGGATAAAGGAGATGAATGAATGAATGAATGAATGAATGAATGAATGAATGAATGAATGAATGAATGAATGAATGAATGAATGAATGAATGTCTTTGGATCAAGGTTGCTGGTTCCACATCATAAAGGCCCAATCATATAACAGTTTTGTTCTTTCAGATAGTGCATCTGTTTTTTTTAATTTCTATTGAGCTATTAAATTAACCAAATATTAATTCTTTTTTTTCAGGGTGGCATTTGTAATGAAGAAGCACTTAAATACTCACTTACTGGGGAAACACGGAGTTGGTACACCGAAAGAAAGGTAAAATTAAATATAACCTGAGCTTATAATATTAAGTTTTAACATTAATTAGTAAAACATGTAACTTGCTTCTCTTAATGTTGAAAAATGGAAACATTTAACTCATTAATATTATTAATGTGTTAACTGAAATGTTAGTTAGCCCTTGACTCTCTGCAGAAAGGACATGCAGTTTCACTTTCCTTGTTCCCAAAGGAAAGGGGCCTATATCTTCCTTCCAAAACTAATTTCATAGTGATTAACCGAAACCTATAAATGCATTTGGAGTATGATAGAGTCCTTTAAATACATTTGGACAAAACATATCTGGAAACCTTCATAGTAATATGCTATTTCTCAGAGCCTCTGGGAGTTATAGTTAAAGATCATTAAGAGTCCTCAGACTGAAAACCATTGCTCTGTAAGGAACACATCTGCTGGTCCTGCTCCCAGTTATACATCTCTAATGTAACTTTGCCCATTCACCCCAGAAATAGACAAAACACAGGCGATGGGTTTAACTAGGACTTCACTTTTTAAACTCATTAAACTTTTAACATCCCCCAGTTCTGCAGGGGGGGGGCAACTGTTGTGTGGATCCCTGAGGCAGGTGCCAGAGATACCTGGTTACCCTGACTGCCCCATCTGGGGAGTTCCACGCCACAACTTTATGTGGTCATGTCAACAGACAGGTCCTAACACTCAGATGACTCTCACCAACAACGACTACCAAAGTCTTGTGACTTTAGACTGCCAGTGGCCATGGCTGGCCACCCATGCATCACACCATGCCGATAACAGAATCTCAGGATCGTCAACGCCAAGATGTTGGTAGCGATATACAGTAGATGTGACCTTTGGAGCTCACTGCTGATCTATTCACCATCTGTGCTACCCGCTAGTGTGATCTGTTTAACTGCAACACCACCCCTGACCAGCCCATCATTGCCCATAGGGCTCACAGTACAGGATAGGTGGAAATTACCTGCACACACTTTTTCAATGTGCCAATCAGGTCCAAAATTCCTATCCAACACCTAGCTATTCTCGCATTGAACCCTGTGGGCAGAGGCCTGAGCAAGGGCAGGGTTGCCTTATATGGTCCCCCCCTTTTTTTTTTGCACTGTTCAGTCGACCCCAGGCAGCCAATAGGTTCTCCAGGCTTCTTGTCTCCCCATCCAGAGAAGGCAGGCGAATCTACCCTGCCTGTGCAGTCATTAAGTGTGCACCCAGAGTGAGGCACTGTAGGTAGATTCAACTAAAGGTATAGGCCAAGACAAAACTAACCTCAAAGATCTTGCTATCCCATCCAAGGTGACAGTTGAGATCATACCAACCAATTGCTGTAGCACTTGTGTCAGCTCAGAAACAGTGTCCACAACTGAAAAGGAAAGTTTGCTTTTATGGATAATGTTTGAAAAATAATATTAGTTGAAGGAAAACCACAGCCTAGCATCTCTTGTGGAAGAGGAGCCTGGGATGATTTTCATGACCCTTCCTTTAAGGCCCTCTCTAGACTGGAGAAGAAAGCCCATCCTATTGCTGAAGGCTGCCTACACCCATGGCTGGCTGCAAATTTGGTGGTTTGGATGAAACAAAGACATAATCAAAGGATTAAAGAACATGAATAAACCCATCTCTATTGGTGCAAATAGGATCTACTGTATTCTCTTCTTATTGGCCATGTTGTATTGTTAGAAATGTGGATCGTTGTAAGGTGTTAAACTCAGTACAAGTCCCATAAACGTAACTGCTAGATGGTGGTAACTGCTAGATGGTCACTTGGAGAAACTGTTACGTTGATTAATAATGAAATTGGGCTGGAATCCTAACCAAACGTAAACTAATAAACCATACTGAAGTGCATCTAAAGTTTAAGGAGAGGCCTACTGGGCTTCTGCTGTTTCTAGGGGGGGAGAGAGAGAGAGAGAGAGAGAGAGTGACTCTGATGACCTTGCCCAAAAGAACCTCAGCCAATGATGAGATATATATGTGGAGTGGGAGGATCTTATAAGTCAGAAGAATCAGCTACTAAATCCTGCTAGGTCTAAAGGTAAAATGTTTTAGATGGCTTGGCGGGTCTAGAAAAAGAAAAAGATTCTGCAGTACTTTCTTCTGGTGTTTTATTTCTTTCCCCTAGAAATACGTCTTCCTATTGAGATACAGCCAGTTACTGTATAATTGTCATAAATACTCTATAGAAGTAACTTATGCCACCCTTGTGGTTGCATGCTCCATAAAGTATCACTCTAGAGATATTCAAATACACCATCTGAGCCTAGGAGGTATGATTTTTAATTGTCACCCCAGGTATATATTTTTAAATGACGAGTGTTTTAAATTCTCACTGTATAACATTGGGTTGCAGTTTCCCCCTCCTCTACAGTCCTTGTGGATTTTCATGTTTCTCTTTTCTTTCTCCAATGTTTTTGCAAGGCTTTGTGGATACTTCACAAGAACAAGCCTGTAGAAGAATAGTTCAATGATAATGTCTTAGAGAGTGTTTTTCCCCTACATTCCAAATACTTGTGGCCTTAGGAGCAAAGGCACAAGATCAGTACTATCATTTGTGGACTTAAGTTTCACCTACTCTAGCACAAAGCCATGTTGACAGAGATGACAGGTGTGAATGTTTATTATCTCTTTAAAAAAATATATGAGAACATTTTCAAGAAGTGGAATTTTCTTGGCATTTCCTCTTAATATGCTGCAAAGCTCAATAGTCGTGGCAGAGAAATTTTATTTCTGACTATCAGAAATTTGCCCCGATGAGTTAAATAATATGAGCTAGCACCAAAAAAAGGGTCCTTTTTTCCTTTCATGTGTTCCTTCAGTTTACAGTTGGCTTTAAGAAATATTTAATCATGATATTGAAGTATCAAATCCGATATAACAATTATAAAATTAAAAAAAATGTGCATGCCCACATATACACACACTTAGCACACCATAGATGGAGCTGATTATGTTTCAGCTTCATGTTTCGTCAAGTAGTTCTCTGGGTAATTTTAGAGAAAACTTTCACCTTAAAAGATAGTTGCAAAATTTGCTAACATCCAGAATTTAAATGAGTGTATACTGAAAAATGCGAAGGATACCAACCACAGCAGTGTACACTTTTTACTGGCCAACATCCTATTGGATATTCATGTGTGCCCAAGGGGAATTATGGGAATTGCTGTAGCTACTTAAAACTAATTGACAAGACGCATGTGCCAGGTGCTGATCAGTCAGTCATGTGACTGACATAACACTGGCATCTGTTCAGTTAGGTGCCTCTTGTGTAATTCCTCTTGTGCATGCATAAATGTCAGGTAGGATTCTGTCTATTTTTAGTGTTACATTGATTGCCCTCAAAATGAGACTGGATGTAGATAAGTTCCCTTCCTCATTTAGTCGTTCATATACAGTGGTGCCTCGCTTTATGATCGCTCCGTTTAATGACGAAACCGCATTACGACAAACTTTTTGCGATCACTTTTGCGATCGCTTTATGATGTTTCCTATGGGGGAATTTCGCTTTGCGATGATCGGTTCCCTGCTTTGGGAACCGATTCTTCACAAAACGATGATTTTCGGACAGCTGATCGGCGGTTTCAGAATGGCCACCGGGTAAACAAAATGGCCCCCCGCTGTTTTCTGGGATGGATTCCTCGCTGCACAGGCAGTGAAAATAGCCGCCCTATGGAGTTTCCAGCCCATCGGAAAACATTTAACGGGTTTTAATGCATTTCTATGGACTTTTTAATTTCGCTTTACAATGTTTTCATTCTACAGCGATTTTGCTGGAACGAATTAACATAATGTGAGGTACCACTATATCTCCAAATGCTCTGGGTTTGATAACTTTTTTCAAGGACTTTACCCATGCATATGAATCATTACACTAGTCCTATAGGACAAGCCAGTGGAGTTGAGAGGCTTAGACAGAAAGTAATTTACCTAGAATCAGCTAGTAAATTTATGGCTGAGAAAAGATCCTCATAATGATTTAATAAGTAAATATTTTAAGATAAATAAAAAAGCCCAAAATTATTTTAAAGCTATCATACAGAAAACCAACATACAGGGACCAAAGGCCTCACAAATTGCAATAGCATCAAATAGAGAGCCAATGTAGTGAAGTTGATAGAGTGTCAGAATAGGCCTGAAGAAACGGGTTCAGATTCTCATTTGGCCATGTAAACTCATGGGGGTGTCAATGGTAAGACACTCCTTGAGCTTTCCTTGTGCCTCAAAAATCCTAATATGGGTCACCACAATCCAGAAGTGAATTGATGACACATAACACAGAGATCAAATACATAACCGAATCAAGTTATGAAGTAACCAAGCAAATTGGGGAAGGAAATTTGAAAACTCAGATAGAGTGGGGAAACCCCCAAATTCTTATCTCTATCTTTAAAAAAAATTAAAAGGATGTGTTCATATGTGCCCACATGCACGCACAAACGTACATGGAAACTTTCTAGCTAAAGTAGGTTGCATTATCAAATATACATTATTATATTATAGCAAATACTAATAGAAGTTAGCTAAATAGGCTGTGACAATTAAATTAATAATGCATTTTATTTGCAGTGTTTAGCCTTTGTGGTTTGACTGATATATGCAAAGATGGTAATTTATTAAAAGTAAATTCATGTAATTGTACTCCAGAGTTTGATGGACCAAAAAATGTTGTCACCCTGACTGTAATAAAAAAATGGAATATTGAAATAAGGTTAGAAAGCTATATTGATTAATATATATATACCAAACAAGTTTTTGCTGTAAGTAGCTTCTCTGATGAAATACAGAGATTGAATGGGCAAATGTATCACAGTGAATGAGTAAATACTTTACAAAGAACATGCTGTCCAGAACGTAATTCTAAGTTTTGTTCATAAAAGATAATGTGTATCCCAGTAATATTTGTGACTTCCGATTTATTGCAGATCAAGTAAGTACTATGTAAAATATTTATATATCCAACACCACCAAAGTTATTGGCTGAAAACAAAGTTTCAACATATTGGTGT